CCACGGAACGAGCTGGAAGGGTTCCAGACGGCCAGACCGTCCGGTCCAGGCCTTGACCATACGGTCCAGCCATGTCAGTCCGTCCGTTCCGCTGAAGAGTGGACCGACCGTTCCGCGAGTACCAGACCGTCCGGTCCAAACCTAGACCGGACGGTCCAGATCAAGACCGTCCGTTCTGCGAGGGAAAGCGGACCGTCCGTTCCGCGTGGAATGTCAGACCGTCCGGTCCAGACCTAGACCGGACGGTCCGACTTTCGGGCAGATTTCCTATTTCGCGTTTTAAAGGTTTTGGGCAATCCTAATTAATGTGAGAGCCGCCACAAACCTAGAGAACAAACCTCAGACGTCCTAGACACTTCCTAGAGCTTTGGAGAAGCTTTCTCTTGAGTTCTAGAGATTGGAATATCGATTCCAAGTCAAGGACATCGTTTTCTCTTCACAAATCCTAGCAGATACGTTCCAAACTGTTGGAATTCATCCCGCCGGTGTGGATACGTGTAGAGGAGTTGTGCTTTCAACTCTTGGTGATTAAAACAGGCCCTGGATCGATTGATACTTCCAGATCTTGAAAGAACGAGGTAAGTATTCGAATCCCACGACGATATACACGATTGTTCGGGTTATTGCACAATTGGTTTTGTGTGACGTTTGACTAGGTTTAGATCTTTCCTTCCGCTGCGTGAAACCTAGAATCCAAATCCTAGATCGATGAGATCGCATGCTAGGAACCCGAAGGGAACCCAACAGTTGCTAAAGGTTACACCCAGAAAGATGACATCGACTATAAAGAGACTTTCTCTCCGGTGTCTAAGAAAGATTCTTTGAGAATTGTTTTGGCTTTGGTGGCTCATTATGACTTAGAGGTTCACCAAATGGATGTAAAGACTGCCTTTTTGAATGGTGATTTAGAGGAAGAAGTCTATATGGACCAACCTGAAGGTTTTAAAGCCACAGGAAAGGAAAATTTGGTGTGTAAGCTGAGAAAGTCAATATACAGACTGAAACAAGCTTCCCGACAATGGTATCTTAAATTCAATGATACCATTACATCTTATGGTTTTATAGAGAATATTGTTGATCGATGTATCTATATGAAAGTTAGTGGGAGCAAGTATGTGATTCTGGTCTTGTATGTTGATGATATTCTACTTGCTGCAAATGACATTGGAATGTTACATGACGTAAAGAAGTTTCTCTCTAAGAACTTTGAGATGAAAGATATGGATGAGGCGTCCTATGTGATTGGAATAGAAATATTCCGTGATAGACCACAAGGATTGTTAGGATTGTCTCAGAAAAGTTACATTAATAAGATCTTAGAGAGATTCAAAATGGGTGAATGCTCTGCAGGGATAGTTCCGATTCAGAAATGGGACAAGTTCAGTAATATGCAATGTCCAAAGAACGAATTGGAACGAAAAGAAATGGAAAGTATTCCCTATGCGTCAGTGGTTGGGAGTTTGATGTATGCTCAAACGTGTACACGGCCAGATATCAGTTTTGCTATTGGAATGTTGGGCCGATACCAGAGTAATCCCGGAATAGATCACTGAAAAGCTACAAAGAAAGTTCTAAGGTACTTGCAAGGCACCAAGGAACACATGCTTACATATAGAAGAAATGACAACTTGGAAGTCATTGGGTATTCAGATTCCGATTTTGCCGGATGCGTTGACACCAGAAAGTCAACTTTCGGTTCTCTGTTCCTATTAGCCGGAGGAGCAGTGTCATGGAGAAGTGGAAAGCAGTCTGTCATCGCTGCTTCTACTATGGAAGCTGAATTTGTAGCATGCTTTGAGACTACAGTTCATGGATTATGGATGCAGAACTTTATCTCAGGGCTTGGAATTGTCGACTCTATAGCCAGACCGCTGAGAATTTATTGTGATAATTCCGCAGCTATCTTCTTCTCAAAGAACGACAAATACTCTAAAGGTGCTAAGCACATGGAGATAAAATACTTAGCTGTCAAAGAAGAAGTGCAGAAACGAAGAGTGTCATTTCAGCATATTAGTACCGATCTTATGATAGCGGATCCGTTGACTAAGGGACTATCGCCTAAGACATTTAAGGGACATGTCGAATGGATGGGCATTATTGACAAGTCCTTGCTTTAATGATTATTTCGGAGAACTTTTTGCTCATTATATTTATGATTATGACATTTTGAATTCAATTAAAGTATTGTTTCTACAATTATTAGGCATGTTATCATTATATTATTTGTGTACACATATTATTAAGTAAGATAATGTGCATAATGATATAATCCCTAGGTCATAAAGTATGTTGGATGATAATTGATTGTGATACATGGAAGGGATCATGTTAAAAGTGATGTGTGACCGCCATGATTCATCGATTGTTATTCAAATGAAAGTTATCGATGATATATGAATCTAATGTAAAGTTGCGCGCTTAAAATTTATTAGATCATCAATTCATCACATGGGCCAAGTGGGAGAATGTAAGAAATAAATTATTATGTGGCCCATGTAATTTGGGCTTTCGGGTTTTAATGTTAATCTGGTTCTTTGATGGATAAGAACTCATTAAAGAATTAAGGCCCAGGGATATTATTGGAAGTCCCCTCTCTCCTTACCCTAATACAACCAGGGTTTCCGCACCCTATAAAAGGAACATTATATTTCATTATTTCTGTCCATCAAGAAAGAACTTATAGTACGGGAGAAAGGAGAGAAAACCCTAGAAGACTTTTGGTTCTTAAAGTTATTCCGCTGCAATTCATGGATCCAGGTATGGTTTTCTAATCTATGTTTTATTGATTGTTTTGTGTGAATTATATAAAGCCAGATCCAATTTATCGTTTGAGTTTTCATAAAAGCAAATCCCTGAAAACCTGAAATTATCTTACACCTTTAACTGACAGCAGTAAGCTACGAATGGTGCGATCCAATTTAGTTCGCAATTCCTCCACTGAGTGAGCTTCGCCTTTGAATATACGACTATTTCTTTCTCGCCAAAGCAAGTAGGTTGACACCTGAGCAATGATTTTCACAAGTATTTCTTTCCCTTCAGACCTGGCTGAACTAGGCCCTGTCACCCATTGGATACATTGATGCAGATCTCGAGGCGGAGAAGGCCAGCATTTGGCTGCGAAGAAAGTCCATAAACCTGCACTGAATGTGCAGTCAAAGAAGAGATGGTAGTGGGTTTCGTCAGACTGACCACAAAGACAGCAGACCGTGTCGATTTGGAGACCCCACCTGGCGAGTCGGTCTCGCGTCGGCAATCTCTGCTGCAGTGCTTGCCACTGGACAAAAGCATAGCGTGGGATGGCCTCCTTGAACCAGACAAGTGAAAGCCAGTCAACTGGTTGGCCTGGCCATCGAATTAGCTGCCAGGTAGCTGAACTTTTGAACCTTCTTTCATATACGTCCGTTCATAGCTTCTACAGCAACTTGTCCTCCCGCGCATCAGGTTTTGGGGGTTCAATCCCTGCTAACGCCACCTGAAGAAGTTCAATTTTATCTGACCTAGCCCGCGGTAGACACCAAGCATTGCCCCGAACCACCGATATACTCAATCAATGGGCTCAGCGACATCCAGTTGTCGTGCCAAAAAGAGGTGGCCTTTCCGTTCCCTAAGGCAGACTTTGTGTAGCTCCATGCCTGTTCCCTTATCGCTAGCAACTTTCTTAAGTCCCATGACATGATCGTAGATATCCTGCAATACCAAAGGCTTTGACCTTTCAAGATATGCATTTTTACCCAGGCTACCCACAACGAACCTGAATTTGTTAGGAGCATCCATATCAGCTTTAGCCGGAAGACTAGGTTTTTTTTCTCTACTTTGTGCAAACCAAGTCCCCCCTCACGCTTTGGGAGGCAGACCACATCCCAAGAGATACGGTGAGTCTGAGCACTTCCTGGGGAGGATCCCCACAAGAAAGACGAGCAGAGACTGTCAACCCGCTTCAGGAAGTACCTCGGCAGCAAGAAGACCATGTTCCAGGAGTTGATCATCCCATAGATGACAGAGGATATAAGTTGAGCTTTGCCAGCTGAGGATAGAAGCTTTGTCGTCCAAGCATTCAGCTTGTCCTCAATCCTGTCAATCAAGAGCTGGTAGTCACCCTTGGATAGCCTACGAGAGCTTAGGGGAAGTCCGAGGTAGCGGACTGGTAGTCACCCTCGGCAGCAAGAAGACCATGCTCCAGGAGATTCTCGGCTTTATGCATGCACCGTCGTCGTTCAACCGTGTCCGAATTGTTCGCATTTTTAGCCCTAATTTTATGACAGTTTTTAAAATTCTGATTGGATCGAAGAGATTATTATAATGAGTAATCAAAATGAAATGACGAGAAATTGGTTATGCCAAGTTTAATTTGGTAGATCGAAGAAAGAAATTGGTTATGAATTTTTTTTATAAAATTAAATAAGAAAAATTTAAAAGGGAAAAGTGGACAACAAATATTAATTTTTTAAATAAAATATAATTATTTTTAATAAAATATATTATAATTTTAATAGATAAACTAGAAAATATAATTATGAATAAATTAGGATATAAATTTAATGATAAAATTTTAAAATGAAGGTGTAGAAAATAAAATGGGGAGTGGACTTTAATCATTTTTTAATAAAATTTATTATCTTATTTTAGTGACTATTATATATATGAAAACAAATATTACAATAAAATAATCAATAAAAAAAAGAACAACTCGTACATCGCCCGAGCGCTTACCTAATTTTATTAGTATGTATAGAGTGGTTCAAACACATAAATATTATATAACAATAAATCTACATGATTATTATAATACTTGCTTGATATTCTTTAAGTATATATGCTCTTAGTGAATGGATTACATATGAAATAAACTCGGTAACGCGCATGTTTTATAGTTCACATAAACTTATTGGGCTTCTCAGGAAAAAAATATGTCGGCCCAAATTTAAAAAAAGCCCAATTTGAAAAATGTTGTCACTAAAACTTGTACAACCCTAAATCTGATAAGAACACCATCTCTTGCGTATAAAAACCCTAAATCTACAAAAGCGGCTTTAGGGTTTTTTTTTTTCTTCTAGACAACACTCACGGCTGAAGAAAACCCTCTTCTGCTGGTATATTCGTTTCCCCGTCATGTGTCTATACGTATTTGTGTATGTACTTATGTATGTTCGTAGCCCTGGACGGTAATCTCCTGGTTTTCTGTAAGATTTCGCTGTCGCTAAAGCATCAGAAATTTCTGAGCGCGATCGATTTGTCGATATATTCGCGTGTGTGTGTGTGGGTGTGTGTTTTGTTATGCCTTTGAATTATCTGCTCTGTATATTGATTTGTGTTATCTGTGGTATCTTCTCTGCCTGATAAGGTCGCTTGTGGGCTTAGCTTATGAAGCTTTGATTGTTATGAATGATTTACAGAAGGAGAAGTTTCACGTGAAAACATGGCGTACGCAATGAAGCCAGCAAAGGCCGGTTTGGAGGAGCCATTGGAGCAAATTCACAAGATCAGGATCACTCTGTCCTCGAAGAATGTGAAAAACCTCGAGAAGGGTTAGTTCTTATCTCTAATTACAATGTCTGATCCGTCTTGTTGGGTTTCCAATGTTACATCCTGCTATTAGTTACTTGGAGGTTACAAGGAGATTTGTGTCAAGTCTTTGACAGATTGTGTGACCCAGAAGCACGAAAATTTCCAATGTTGGGAGATTAGCATTTGTCTTACAATCCATCATCAATGATTCATGAAGTAGATACTTGTTTTGTGTGGTGCGACAGTGTTTTATAGACATCATGATGTTATTTCACCAGTTTACACGCCTATATGGAAATCGTTACGGAAGGGTTATTTGTATAGTCAGTTTTTCAAATGATAAATTAATTTGATGTATCTGTTCTCTTGCCAAATGTGTAGTGTGTGCTGACTTGGTTCGCGGAGCCAAGGACAAGAGACTACGTGTGAAGGGACCTGTAAGAATGCCGACCAAGGTTCTTCACATCACTACCAGAAAAGCACCTTGTGGTGAAGGTACATATTGAAACTCCCTTATAATTGACCTCTTTATCGTTTCCCGGAGAATTTCTGTTCATTTCTTCGGTATGATCTCTGATTCGATTGTGCTTCAATCTGTGGAAGTTTTGTCCTTTATTGCCCTGTACCCATTGCCTTCTGTTTCCAAGAAACTATCACTTAGGAATGGTCTCAATCCTGTTCATCTTATTTCCTCACCTGAAACAGTTGGACACGTAATATATCTCTATGCCTTTTTCTGTCAGATGATTCTATGTGGAATCAGATTTGAACTCTTGAATTTTGTTTTCATGTTCCTCTCGACCTGATGCAAAGCTTGTTGCTTTTCAAAGTTTTGACACATTATCTCACTCGGGTTTGCGATAGGAACCAACACATGGGACAGATTCGAGCTGAGGATTCACAAGCGGGTGATCGATCTCTTCAGTTCGCCCGACGTGGTCAAGCAGATCACATCCATCACCATTGAACCTGGAGTCGAGGTTGAGGTCACTATTGCTGACTCTTGAAAACAAGTCTCTTCGTTTTTGCCACAGAATATCTGAAGAGCTTACTTCCCTTTTTTTTTCTTTACATTATGTTCCATCTCTAAAGATTCCCTTTTTAGTGGATTTATATCGAGTTGAAGTTATGATGTCATTCGGATTTTTGTTGGCTTAGTTATTTACACCATTGGGTTTTTCTTCATTTGGATCAACGTTTCCATCATATATCATAATCATGTCATGTGCATGTATTGACATCATCATCTCAGAATTTATGCATGTTGACATCTAACAAGAGAAGATTGGTAACAAAACACTTCTCTATTGATACACTTGTAAACTCGAATCTTTGCCGGTGATCTACCGGTTCGGTTTTTAATAACCGAACTGAATAATTTTGTATTTTGATTTGATTTGATTTGGATGTTCGTTGGTTATTGAGATGGTACGTCTGTTTGAGATGATATAACCGAACTGGGCCACCCCTATGAGCCTCTAACTTCCATCAGCCCAATGCCATGTCATTAGTCTGACTAGGCAGCCTCGACCACGACACGTGTCCTCCCCTCGATGCCAACACGGAAAATTAAAACATATACAGGTAACTTTTTTTTTGGTATATCATATGTAGGTAACTTGGTAAAGTAATTGTTGGTCGAGAAGCGTGAATTATCGAAGTTACAGAAATGATGGAAATTATTGAAGTAAAAAAAATATATATAAGTTTTTATTAGATCAAATACAGGATAACCAAAGGCAGTGTATAGACAACATGTAGTTAGTAGGCCAACCAGTCATCATTTTGCTCTTTAACACCGATGTGAAATTTGTTCAATGAATGCCCTTTACTACCCTGGTTACACACTGTTTATGGCGTTTGAAAAGGTGGTAACTTTTTTTAAAATCGGGTGAATCGGAGTTTTAACCGCACAAGAGTCGTTTGTAAGATCAAAGAAAAAGTTAAAAACCAGCAAGATCGAGAGAATCTTTTGTCTCAGCTCATTCATTAGCCCAAAAGTTAAAAATTGCACCATAGAAGTGGTGAATGTATTCAAGTTCAAGTAAATTCAATTTGTGCATTGTTTTATAATCCATTCTCCACAAACTCGGTAAAAATTGTGAACTTCACATTGATGACACATTTATTATTTTTTTTATAACAACTCAAATGATGAATTTCGAAAACAAAAATTTAGGTGAGATTTGTTGGAATTTCCTGGAAACTTTCCGGGAAACAAAATAACATTTTACCACTGAATTTTCCGGGAAACTTTTGGATAGACCTTTTCTCCACAAAAAAAAAGGAAAACTTTTGGGTAAAAAATTTTAAATCCTTTCACAGGAGAGAGAGAGAGAGAGAGAGAGAGAGAGAGAGAGAGAGGCCAACATTATAAGGCCGTTGGAGAGAGATTGTTTCGGTCTTTTCTGCAAAAAACAATAAAGTTCAGGCCTATTTTGTAAATATAAAAAGTAACCCAAGTGAAAATTTAAAGACCTGAGCTGTTTGTTTAATTTCCTCCCAACGAAATTGGCGCCGTTTCCGTCCCCTCTCTCCTCTCCCTCCCCTTTCCTCCTCGGGAAAATTCTCTCTTATTCCCGAGAAAATTTCCGGAGATTTGATGGGAAAATGATCTTCACCGCCTCATGAATCGACGGGGAGAGTTTTCTGGATTCTCCTCGGAAATTATCCGGAAGGGAGGGGAAGAGGGAGAGAGAACAATAATTCAAGCCGCGAGGACATCGAGGTTTTGTTTGTTCTGATTGATTGATGCGAAACTCTGACACGGTTCTGTCTTCTGATATCGGAATTCCAACATTTCCCCGGGAACTTCCGACATAATGGATCCGGAAATGTCCGGGGCAGGGTTTACGGTTGAGGAATTCGACATCGATTTCGAGTACGACGCCCCTCGATTCTATGATTTCTCCAGACCGGAATCCGATTCGGAGACCAAAGAAGCCGAGCTCTGGTTCGAACGTTCAGGAGATTATCCTCCTTCTCGTAAGATAAATTCCCCTCTTTAAGTTTCAACGTCTCTGTTTGATTGTCGGAATCTTGTTCAGGATCTCAGTGCATGAAAATCCCACATTAAATCTTCACGTAAATCATGTACATAGCAAGATTTTGCTAGATGAACAGAACTTTTCCAGTTATAACTTTCCAGACAGAGATCTTGTTCTTCACTGTCTTAATTCCTTGCCTTGAACGTAAAGATTTTGCTCGTGGAGCCATGAAGACTGACATAAAGATTGGAATCTGAAAATAGAAAAAGTCTTTTTTAGTTTCTCATTGGATTTTCAAGTTCATTATATATGCGTTTTGGCTCAGGTTTTAGCCTACTGTCCAACTGGAGGAACGATTTCCTCGAGCAATTTATAAGCAACAACGGAGATTATAAAACGGGCGAGACTCGAAATCCCAACATCACATCCTTGAATGTCGGTTTGGATCGTGAAGATAAATACAACGGTAAAAGAGAATCCTCGCTTACCGATCTCTGTTTCTTGCTGTCTCTAAATTCTCTTCTGGTTTGTGGAAAAAGGTCACAAGATTCTGATTCTTTTCATCCGTTGTCAGGGTTTATATATTATAACGAAACTGTTAGCGATGTTCCGAGTACGAAGCCTAAGTCGAGAACTAAATCAACTGTTTCGAGGGTTTCGACTTTGACAAAACCTACCGCTTCTTTGTTGGCAAGACAGAATAAACCCTTAGACACTTACTCTACTCAACTCCTGAGAAGGTACCGCACGCTTTGCCCTTTCTTTTTCTTTTTATAAAAAAAATCGTGTTCTCGAATTATATATTTCTCGCCATTTTCAATCTGTTTGGAATGAATTTCAGATGTCAGAGGTCATTAGGGAAGCTCAACGACAAGATATCGTCCCTCTTACATCCTAGATCCCGAAACCAAGACACCGAAAGACGGAAAATGGAGGCGGGTTTCTTTTGCAAGGTGATCAAGTTTGTCTGAAATCGGTTACTGGTTTATCTGTTTGTCTTAAAAGATAGAATGGATTCTGTATGGACTGAAATCATTTCCTGACTGCTCGGTCAGCAATGTTGCTCTTATTCTTCTTCAAGCATGTCGACCTTTGGTTCTTTCCTTTTTAGGTTTTCCTGATAAATATCGGCTTTGATTGGTTACGTGAGATATCAATCCTCGTCCGATATGAATTCTCTTGTCATAAACTACGTTTACCTAGTGAAGTCTATACAATATCCTTGTAGGGTCAGGCTCTTTTTGTACAGAAATAGTATATATATATATGTATGTATGTATGTATGTATGTATGTGTATATATGATACATGGTATAAGTTTACATGTCTCTCAAGATCAACCATACTAAAGTTGTAATTCTTGAAGCAAAGGAAATAGCATTCTAACCAAAACTGCATTTTTACAGGCAGGTTGTGTCAACTCCAACGGCGGCAGAGCCAAAGTCACGGTTCCAAGAGAACCGAACCTCCAAACAGCACAAAGGGCTCGATCAAGACATCGGTAAGAACGATAAATTGATACCCTTTTAGTAATTTAAATGACATTCCTATATAAGTTGGCTACTGACAATATATTTCCTCCCGTTTCCTTTTCCGACGAGTTTCAGGTTTAAGCTTAATTCAGAAGAACCCGAGCAGCAGAATGCGAAATTGAATTCTGCTTCATCTAAAAGTCAGCCTACGGAAAAATACGTACGTTACCCCTCCGTGGTTGTTATTCTCAAATCCTTCGTTGCATGACCATAGAGCTCACAACATTAGGCATGTTCTGTTCTTTCAGGCATTTCACCAAAGGACATCTCTCAAAGCCTCTCAACGCTCTCCTAATGTAAGTTTCAAGCTTTACATACAGATTAAGTGGTGAAACCGACCTTTCTTCTGTGTATATATCTCACCTATATACACATACAGACATCAATAATCATCGGCTTGCAGGCTAAAAGTGCAACCCCTGATGACTCGACGAGGGAGAATGATACCACGCACTCGCAAATGTTTGTCCATTTCTCTAAAACTGCTTAAACCCCTTTCGCATCCTATGTCTTTTTTTTTAAAAGAAGAAAGTTGCTTGGCATATCGTGCAGGCTCAAGTCTCATGATCCCTCGACGGGTGGGAAGTTAAAAGGAATTCGCAGCATGAAAACAACCCCTAAAGCTTATGGATCTGAAATCTGGCTTCTGGACTCAAAGGTCATGATGATGATGCAGTTTCGTTTCTTAACCGATATATATATGTACACACACACAACTTAATCTCTTCCATTTTTATCGGCAGACATCAAACAAAGCAGTGGACATGAAACATGAGAACAGTTTCCCAAAGGTAAAAGTCTGAATCTTTTCCTAATGTAGTCCGTACTTCTTCCTGACTAGCGGCAATATGTCTTTAGTTCATCCAAGGAGTTCGAAGATCAACCAGACAGGGGCTTTTGAGATGAAACCAACCCTGCAATAGAATGAGAAACCCTATTTCCCCAAAAAGAAAAATTGCTCTCAAAGGAATATATACCTCATTGCACAGAAATGGCGATGAAGAGATCATATTGGAGAGTTTCCACGGGGAATCAAAGCTCTTGCGGAACTGACAGGAAATATCTCCCTCGATGTTAAAAGGTACATATCCACTTTGTTAATTGTTTCAAGTGTTCCACCATTCTTGTGAATTTCCATGTTGATAGAAATAAGATTCATGCATGGTTTCAGACAAGACTTCGTGATTCTTTGAAACGTCCAAAGAGATGTCGAGTTTGTATATATCGGTGAAATGGACCCAACCCATATAATAGCATCAAATTGTCTAAATTATGTATATATATTACGTCATGTAACCAAATGAAGTGTATATATATATGTGTTTGTGTGGAATGAATGATACATATCTTGAATAAATTCTAAAAATATAATTTTGATGGCTGAGATAGAAATCACGGATCTAAGCTAAAGAGTTAGAATGATATATTTTGAATCATACAATTCTAAACGTGTAATAGTTTAGTATGAGCAAAATGGTATTCTAAAATTAATTTTGAGGGGACCATATTGATTGTACACTTGGTGGTTGCTATTAGAATGAATATCTGGTTATTGATGGTTTGGTTCGGTTTAGTTTGATTTAGTCTGACTAGGATTTATTTTGATGAAAGAACAACAGAGAAAACGTTTCTTCCTTTCCTCTATATCTCTTCTCCTTCCTCTCTATATTGTAACTCTTGTTCTGATTTTTTTCTTCAAATATTTTTCATTTCAATGGTTTTTGATGTTTTTATATAGTTACCAAAGAGAAACTATCGAAAACATAGGCTTATTAAATAATAATGTTAGGAAGACCCACCTTTTTAATTTGTCTTTATCAATATTATTATTTGTTAATGATTACAGTCCATTTAAATAATTGTCTATACAGTTGGGTTTATTATAAAAAATACATTTATTTTGTTGTATAGACTTCATAACATACCATTCTATATTTTTTTTGTCTCATTAGTGATTATCGTGATATATTTTAGAATAATGTTGGTTACATTAGTTATATCGTTAAAATTATATGGTGGTCACTAAATTGATCATATCGTTTACATTTATATAGTGGTCATATTGATCACATAAAAATAGATTAAAAAAAATATAGTATGAAGTTTATATGGAAAAATAAGGTAGTTTGATATAATATCACTTTGGTGAAGCTGTAACATTTACTACAAATGTCACAAAGTCTTATGTTTCATGGCATGAGTTTTAGACAACAAACACGATATCATGTTTCCTAAAGTTTTTTTTCTTTTCTAAATCTTGTTAGTTTCCTCTAGATGTGTTAGCGATCTTTTTCTTAATAAAAAAGTGATGTCAGTTGGTTTGTCCCAATCTAGATCCAATCCATTTGGATTTCAAAAATAAATGGGTTAGGTTAGGTCGATCCGTTAATAACAGTGGATTAGATTAGATCGATCTATTAAATCCGTGTAAACCATATAAACCCATTTATATATTCACAAACTACTTATACATATGTATAACTATTCTATTAATATGTATACTCATATAACCTATGAATTATCATTTTAATATTCGATTTGGTTTATTCGATTCAATAAAAATATATACAAAATCGGATATTATATTATATTCGATAGTTTATAAAAAAAAATTATACATTTCTCAAAAAAAATCAGATTTTTTCGTTTTTTTAATTTGATTCGATGGTTTAGAAATATTGTCATTTAGATTTTTTGAACGGTTCGGTTAAAAAACGACACCGATTTTTTCAATACGATTCGATTCGAAAATAGTATCGAGTTTTCTGATATGATTCGAATTTTTTGGTACGATTCGATTTGGAATATTATCGAATTTTTTATACGACACGAAATTTTTCGGCACGATTTCGATGCGGAAACGGCACAAAGTTTTTCGGTACGATTCGATTCGGAACGGTATCGAGTTTTTTTATACAATTAGAATTTTTTCGTCACGATTCAATTCAGAAACGACACCGATTTTTTCTATACGATTCAATTTGAAAACAAAACCAACTTTTTGGCACGATTCGATGCGAAAACGACACCGAGTTTTTCGGTACGATTCGATTCGGAACTGTAAACTCTATACGATTCGAATTTTTCGATACGATTCGATTCGGAAACAAAACCGAATTTTTCGGTACGATTTGATTGTAAAACGATACCAAATATTTCGATTGAATTCATATACGCATATATGTATATATATATATATTAATTTTTTTTTTGGTTAAAGGTGCTGTAATATATATATTAATTTTTATATATCTAAATATAACAATTTTAATTAGTTACAAAATGAGTTTAATTTTAATTAAATATATAATAGATTTAATGGGTTAACCATTTAATCTATAGGTTGAATGTGTCAAAATCTATTTAATCAATTTTAAAAAATTAGCTAAATAGATGAATCCATTTGAGTTTATAGTAGGTTAGATTGAGTTGATCCGTATAACACGATCCATTTTGACATATCATTTAAATGATGTATCTGAATTAGTTTAATTTTGGATAATCATAATAAGTAGATTTTTAATATATGTATCAAACATATGGATCTCGATTCATGGCAGAATGTAAGTGACGATCCAAGTTGAAGAACGTAAGACTAAAACGTCGGACGTCAAAAATCTATTATTAATTTTCAAAAATCGAAATAAACAACCGAAACAAATCCAAACAGTCGGTAACCGCCCCTCTCTTTGTCCGAAAACGGAAAACTATATATAAAAGGAGAGAGAAACCCTACATTCCTTCTTCTTCGAGTTCTTCGCCTCAGTCACATCCAATGCCGTCCCTAGCTTTATCCGACAAGAATGAGGAGCGGAAGATGAAGGAGAGGAAGAGTCGGAGAAGAAGCGGAACGCGACGGAGATGGCGGAATCGGAGGTGGACGAGAGCGACACGAACTCGGAATTAGTGGCGCCCGCCGGTGAGTTCCGTGGCGGAGAAGAGGAGGAGAAACAAGAAGGCGGAGGTCGATGAGGATGAGTTGGAGTCCGAGGAAGAGCAGGAGAAACCCTAACGCCGTCGCGAAGTTTCGGGTCTCGGCTCCGGCGAGGGAGAAGCTGAAGGAGAAGGGAATTTCCAATTCGGGAAATGACCTTTGACATGGTCCTGGATGGCGATGGTTCTGATCTGGTCGGACGCGGTCGCACTGGCCAGGTATTGTCGGCCATCTTTGAAATCTTCTCCTGTCTGATCATCTGGGTAGAAACACATATGACGGGTTCTTGTATTGTGAATCTCCTAGTCGATTTTCTCCTTCACGTTTCACTAATTTAATCAAAGAAGAAATGCTGCTCAAGTTCAAAGCTTTCTCCTGTAGTTTGATTGTGAGAATTAGAACGTTCTTCCTATTGCCGCTATGATATATCCATCAAAGTTTGAAACTTTCAGTCGTGTGGCAGCTGAGTGACTATAAATTTATGAGGATTCTTGTTCTGTGTATTTTGAATTTCTGTATGATGACATTGTTCCTATATCAGCGGATTTGGCTGATCATGTTTGGTCTTGTGCTGGGTAAAAACACGCTGGCCTTTGTGTTAATTAGCCAAGCAGGTATGAGATTTCGGACAAAGGCTTAGTGTATTGGGATTTTTGTGTAATCTGCATTTGCTAGCAACGCCAGTTCTACGCTAAGGTTTTTGCTGACTTTGATGTATATGGAGGGGCGGTATGGCTATCTTCTTGCTGTCTCAAGAGTATAAAGGTAGATATTGTAGTTGGAACCCCTTGTCGGATAAAGGTAAAACCGTCTTTTTTTCATCCTTATTCTTCTCAGTTTGAGTGCTCCATAAGCTCCTTCGAATTCTGAAATTCGTGTATGCACGAAGATAAACACTTTTATGTAGTTCTTACAAGTAAAATTCCATTTATTGTACTGACCCTTTAACCAAATTTGGTGCAGGATCGTGTTGAAAGTCACAACAACATCAACCTGAGCTTTTTAAAGTTCCGGGTTCTTGATGAGGCTGATGAAAATGTCGATAACGGGGTTCGTTGAGGACGTTGAACTCGTAATGGGTACGTGGTTATGGTTTTGGATTCTTTGGAAACGTTTAATTTCCTCAGTCTTGTTTTGAAACTCACCATAATTTCTGTCAGTTTCTTCAGGGAAGGTGGAGGATGCTTCTTTTCGGCGCGAGATTTGGTGAAGAATGTGCTTCTCTTCAATATATGATCTTACTCTATTCTTGAACCAGCATCACTCCGATTGCCCGGTTGTATTTTTGCTGTTCTTTTCCCTTCTATAATTCATTTAGAATTTCAAGGCCTGCTTGCTGGTTTCTTGAGCCGAGCAAGAAAAACCATCGATCTTGATGGTAAATGCGAAGAAGAAAGCCAGCACCAATGTTTCTGTAATAGAGATGTAATCTTTATTACAGTCTTCTTACTTCACATGTTCTGTCTGTTATCGAGAGTGCAGTCCCGAATCATTTTTTTCTCCCTTTAATCCCTCTTTTAATCGATGTTTTGTCGTTGCAGGTTACTCTTTCCAGGTTTAGGAATGGGCAAGTTCTCATCAATGGTAGCACGTGGACTGTATATATCAACAATGTTCTCAAAATTACAGTATGGTTCTGATACTCTCCCGTGTTCTTGGAAGTGGAGAAATTAGTTTCTGTAGTTAAAGTGAGAAGTTGAAACTGAAACATGATACAGTTGAATACCCTTTAAGACCTATGTTCTTGTAAAAAAAAATAGATTTAGAATCTTCTCATATCCTTTGTTTTTTTTTTCTTAAACTTTATGGAAGATTCGCCTATGGCGTACTGAGGAGAGTCTTGCCGGAAGAGAAGGTTGAGTCAATAGAAGGGCAGATGGAACGGATGCTTCCACAATCAGATTCAGATATCTCTCCCAAGGTTGTAATAATTCGATCACGCCTCATCCTCTTTGTTAATATATTCGTTATAGAATCCGAGATTTTTGTTCTATCTTTTGGGTATATAATCGTCTGCTGAATGAATTATTTGTTTTCGTTCATTTTGATTTTGGGTTAAATCTTCTGAAATTTATAACTATCTCAGATATGGACAATGTGCAACCGAACAGTAACTTTGAGGTTTCTGTGACGAAATTGAATATAATTCATTTATTTGTATAAATTTAAGATACTATTCGTTTTTATGTGAAATATATTTGGAAGATTTACTCACATTCCCCCCCAAAAAAATACAATAATTTACCTGTCTTCTATTGGAGAACGAGGATTGTAGATGGGAAAAACTTAATATCATTGGATATACATATACGTATATATATGTATGCATTTAAGAAGTGGAATATAATTAGTGAATCCAAATATTAAAATTTTTTGTTTTATCTTTTTCACTGTCAGATTAAGACTAGAGGCTAAATGAATGGGTCACATACCCAATTGTTTAATTTTAAAAAATTCATTTCTTTATAAAGTTTATAAAATTTTAAATAGAATTGTTAAATATTCCATAGAAAATTAAGTTTTTCCCTATTAAAAAAATAAGTTTATTTCCAATTCTAATTTTTTTTGAATCCATTACTAACTAAGACTAAACAAAATATAGACTTGGTACATATTTCAACCATGCAGTTGAGGTTTCTAATATTGTATTCCCTTCCATTGCGTAAAAACCATTCATAGGGTTAAGGGTTATAATTCAAATGAGGAATGAAACATGGAGAAACAAAATTTTCTTATGAGTACGAATAGGTATGGGCGTCGTTATTTGAAATCCACGAATTTTTAGATATTCAATTTTACGGATATTCGAAATGCAGATATTCGCGCGCTATATAACAAAATTGAAGACTTTTGTGATGAGACCAAAAATCCAAACTACGGGTTCGAATTTTTTTTAAGGGAAGTTGGGTATACGAGTATGAATAAAATAATATTTATATCTTTGAATTTTAATATATTTTTAAATTAAATTATTAAAATATTTCTAAAATCAATAAAAGTCAATGGTTTTTTTAACTTTTAGCATGTTCGGGTATGGTGAGTAATTGAGTTTAACGACGGATATATAGACAGTAAATATCCGAATTTTATAAAGTTAAAAATAAGATAATATTTTTCTAAACACGAATACAGAATCATGTATCTTCAAAACCCAGAATACCCGATCTGTTTTCACATTAGAAATCTCAAAATAAGAACACGAACTGTCTTTTTTTTTTTTTTAAAGGCAGGAAGATTTGTGGCAATGTAGATAAAAGATCCTCAAATTCTCACGTGAGATATTTACATCGGTCAAGAAAAATTGAAATTAATTTCGTTTTCTTTTTCAAATTATATCGTAGTTGAAGAAAAATGAGACATGCGGAAATTAAAGATTAAAAATATAATTCTGAAAATGGATGGGCCATGCGGCCATTGCGAAAAATCGAACAAGGACAAACTATTGTTTTTCCCAATGTAAAAAACAATTATTTCACTTTTGTCGAGCGCTAGACCAAAGACAAAATATATGCATTGTCCATATGCTTTTTGGATTCTAGTTTCTGATGAAAAATGTAAAAAGTGAAAGTAAATCAAAAAAAAAAAAAACTGCCTAATTACTTGACTTTGAGAACGCTCCATTTTGACTAAATGATAAATTTTGTATTATACATTAAAATTTTGAGTTTGATGATGAAATTCTGCAGTTTTCATATGACAGCTTCTTTCATTGTTTTTAATTTCCATTTCAACTTTCGAGGAATAGTTTTATTTATGCAGTATATATATATATATATAGAGTGAGAGAGAGGGTCAGTGTATTATAAGATCGAGAACCGCATTTAATTTTAGTGGTTATGGTCACTTATAACAAATTCAATGTGGTATTATAACGAGCCAATCGATATATACATATATATAGTATATATCGTTGGATAAAAGATTGTTTATAAATATTAATAGTTTCGTAGATATTAACGTAATCTATACCAAGTTTGTCGTGAAGCGAGTGGGGGACAAAAGAAAAGACAATTTTGGACTTGTGGGTTGTGGCGGCTGATTCTCTCTCTATCTCTTTCATTTTTCTTTTTTTTTTTGGGCTTTTCTTACCTTATTTTATATACACCATCAAATACAAATTAAATTTTTATTACAGGGGTTGTCCATGAATCCTTCAAAATATTTTTCAATTACAATCTGAGTACGTATTTTGAGATATCATAAATATATATATATTATACATTATAAAAATCTTATTTAAGTCCTTTGAAGATCAATATGTAATTTTAACTCAATTTGTAATAGTAAAAGATCAACATTTTTTTATCTCGAATTGGAATCGAGATATAGAAAAAAATATTTAGATAAATAAAAAATTTATCAAAGACTGATTCCGAATCCGAAGAATTAATTGAATCAAATTATAAAAAAAAATGTATTTTTAGAATTGTACTTGGATTTTTATTTTATTTTGTGCACACACCCCTCATATATATATATATATTTTTTTTAAAATGAACACTCCTATATTTGCAAGAAAATTACAAGGATACGACAAAAACATTATCTTTGGAAAACCTTCGAATCTCCAGATAGATTTAGAGACAAAAATGTAGCAGAGTTATTTTTTTTTTTTGTTGGAAAAAATACAAAATGTAATAAAGAGTGTCGATTCCTAAATGGATATTGGAATCGGCAAATACTGTTCATAATATGTTGGTGGGCCATTTCCCTTTTTTGTTTGCTTTGTTCAGTACTCACTGAGACCTCAGGCTTTTTATTAACTCCAATCTTTGTTATTCACTCCACAAATTTATATTTCCTTTCGTTCAATAATCTCCCGTCTTTTAGCATATAATATATGGATTTTGATTAATTTCTAGGAGTTGTAGCATTTAGTACGTACGTGTATATATACGCTCGAATATTCGAGTTTGGTGATGCGAGCATGAGCTTGTTTGGTGATATATACGCTTAGTTTATCGATTACGTATATGATCAAATTTAAACCTTTTTATTAATCGCCGTATACGTATACGTATGATTACATAAAAAGTTGAAGGTATACACATATATATATATATATATATGTTATCAAGTTTAATAAATTCAAACTGCAATTAAAAATGAAACACATTTTTAAAGTTTGATTGGTGTATCACCTCTAAAAGTTTATGGTTTAATGTGGTATGGTGAACTCATAAAATGCAACATTTGCATATTTGGATAAACTTTTACGGAATACCAAACGAATTTAGAGATATGAGATGAAAAATGTATATGAATACTATTTTTTTCCCCTATATTCTAACCTTTATTTGGAGAGTTACATATTAATAACAAAAACCAATCAGAGTTCATATATATATGAGATTTGGTTTTATAATTTGATTTGATTAATATCAATAAAATAAAAATGGTTGATTTTTTTGAGATTTGATTTTTAATATCCATTGTAAAAAAATATTCAATTTTTTTTACAAATTAAAATTCTGTATCATTTTCACCAAACTTACAAACTTGACTTCAAGCTGTTAGACCCGTTTTGATTTTTTTAAATAAATATATACACACTAGATTATCTAGTGGAGCGCCACATGTATGGTATTGTGTGACAACAATGTATGCATGTTGTATTTGAATAAAATCATCCCTAATTTCCTACCACATCTTTGAGATTCTTACCATATCTTCAAAGACGAAGAGATCCAAAGATAAAGAAAAAAAAACGAGTATAAAGCATATATTATAAATAATAATAACTATTATTATTATTTTCATAAAAATAATTATTATTATTATTGTTATAAGTCGATCTTCAACTGATCTCATGGATAAATTTGTTCTATGTACCATAATAAAGTTTTTTTTTAATCATACGCTTTATTTATTATTCTTGCAATGAAGAGTGAATCTCGGGGTTGAATATAAATACGAAAAATATGTTATATATATGGTTTAGGAATTTTCTCCACGTGAAAGAAATTGAACTTAAAAACGAGAAGCAAGCAAGTTGAGGATATTCCTCTGTTTGTGTTTAATTAAATTAGTGGACCATTGGGTGTTCTTGCCTTCTCCAACCTGATCCACTTGATCTTGATAACCTTAATATGGACATCTTTGATGGTTACACATACATATACATACATATATATATATATATATGTATGTGTGTGTGTGTGTGTATATGCTTCTATACATTCTTAATTCGCATTCTATAGGTGCTATAGATTGTAGTTATTGTTTAATTAATTAACCCAATCCACAAAACTTGGTCATAACCTAGATATTGATGGGCAATGATATGATATTCAATTTTGGAACATACATTCATTAATAATGGCCATACATGTTTTTCTTATAACAATTTAAAATAATTTCGTACGAATAAAGAGAGCAACACAACGCGATTCATGTGAACATCCACTTGATCCTACAGCAGACCAAACATCATAAACAGAAACAAAAAACATCGTCTTTTCCTATTTCTATCCCTTTGTTCCTTCCCTCTTTCGATACAAAACCCAACTAAAGCCCCCTTTTCTTGTTTTCTCTTTAAACCCTTCCATAACTGGAAGTCACTTTCCCGGGCATCCACACAATGTCTACTCATTAACCCTTTTATTAATTCCCTCATATATATATATATATATATATGATTATAATTAATTAACATATTATAGTATTGATATTGATTTTTCTTGCTCGTAACCACTTTCACTTCATCCCCTATTCTGAAGCCATTTCGTGAATTCCTGGAGAGTGTTCATGTCGGATCTGTAATGCTTCTGAGTGAAGTGGAGGAACATAGACCATGTGAAATCAGGGTATGCTCTCTCTGTCTTGTCCCCGACCAATATTTCCTTCGGTGGCTCCACCACTTTATCACCCTTCGGACACAAGAAGAATGCCACCGATTTCCTCTCCCTCTCGCTGTTCACCACCGCCCTATGCAAGCAGCTCTTGTACTTCCCGTTCGTTAGCGCCTATACCACCAGATTATAAAAACCATAATTACTTGAATCTAAACTATACCCTGATTGTAAATATAATGCGTTCTTGTAGTAATTACCATTAGGGTATCACCGATGTTGACCACGAACGCTCTAGGGTTCGGAGGGACGCATTGCCATTGGCCGTCTACGAAGACCTGAAGGCCGCCGACTTGGTCCTGGTGAAGTATGGTTAGAGATGTCGGGTCACAGTGAGGTCCCGTCCCTAACACAAGGTCCGGCTGCTTGCATGGTGGATAGTAATTAAGCCTCAATATCGAATCATTCTCTTCGAAAAATTCCCTGAAACGGCTTCTTTCTATCCCGAGGCTCATTCCGAGTAGCTCCATGATCTTGAGAGAGAGATCACTCATGGCCTCACAGTACTCTTGATAAACCTTCCTGTGAATAAAAACTTTAGTATATACGTTTTCTAAGATTGATGTTGATCGGATAGGAGAAGAAGAAAGTTTATTCATGATTTACGATGTTTTCCTACCCGAATTCTTCGTATCCATCTCCCATGGTACCGTAGATGTAATCTTTAACTGTCTCGGAATGGGTTTTCTTGTCGGACGAGTAACAAAACGACAACGTTTCTTTCCAGGGGAGCTTCGAGGCGAACCTTCCGACAAAGCTGCTGGCGTAACCAGACATCTCTCCCCACTTCCTCTGCGCCCTCTTCTTCTCGCACGAAGGCGACGTGAAGAACGTGTCCATACACGTGTGGGCACGCGAAATGAGCCTCTCGTCCACACCGTGGTTGGTGACGAGGAAGAAGCCGTGTCTCATCCCGGCATCGGCCACGAGCCTGGAAGCCTCCGAGGCCGAGAGAGGATCGCCGGAGAGGAAACCCGCCAGATCGATTAGAGGGATTCGGAGCGTTGGGGAACTCATGGAGGGTTTTTCGTGGTCGGGCCAAAGGAACTGTGTCGGTACGTTTGGTTGGAGATTTAGGAGCCGTGGATCGAAGATCATGCCGGTCTCGTTGTCTTTATCTTGGTCGAAATTCAAAGGGAGAGGCATATTTGGCTGATTTCTAAGGCACTGCATTGCCATTGTTCAATGGGCCGATGCGGAGAGGAGAGAGAGGTCGTTTATATAGGTGGGGTATGCAAAAGTTTTCCATTTTTAAAAATTTTTTATTTATACAACACTTCATCCCTTATATTATATATTCAGAATTTCCAAAAAAAAAAAAAAAGAAGGATTGGACATCAAAATAAAAGAATATTTACAAATACATTGTTTCCGATAACCTAAGCTAAAATGTATAATATTGTCTTGGGGATAAGAAATTTACTCACAATATTGAGAATTTTTGGATCGTTTTCTATTTTTGTGTATAAAGTATAAACTATCATTTGGTATTTTCCATCTCAATTCGTAGTTAGTTAGTATCCCTCCTTTAATTATCTTTTTAGATTTTTTTCAAGAAATTATAAAAAAATCATATATATCTTCATTAAATTATTTCGCAATAATACCCTATATTGAAGTTGGGTCATTAAAATCAAGAGTAAAATTGAAACCTTTTTTTATATAAAAAAATTATCTTGAGAATTTAAACGAAATCTATTAAATAATAATAAAAATATTTTCTAAAGGTTCTTCTATTTAAAAACAGAGAGTGTGTATTATAGTTAATCATAGATTAGAAAACTGAAATGAAATGATTAAAATTACTGCAAATCCAAACAAACTATTTAAAGTTCAAATGTTATGTACTATATTAATATGTTTAACGCATTTAAATTTTGCATCGTAACAAACATGTCAAGCTGATTATATATAATTTATTTATTTAGGCTTTGGGAATTAATAATATATATATATATATATAATATATATATATATATATATATAAATAAAATTCGATTCTAAGATTGATAGGACACCAACGCGCCATGGAATAACTTCTCCATTATATAAATATGAAAAGGGACTTATTTCCAACATCGCATCTCTCTTTTATAAATTAATGTTCCAAAACGTTACATCTTAATTAAGAACCCCTCGAACGAAATGATACGTTCCCTCGAAGAACACCGACATGAACTGAACATTCGATGAAAGAAAACACAGCTTTTGTTTTCTAATAAATATCGGATGCTGGCAGGAATTAAAACCTCTCTTGTTAAATGGGTTTAATCCAACCCAATCTAATAATATTGTATTATGGATAAACCTATATTTGGTTAATTTGGGTTAGATGAGTTTAAACTCGTTTGGGTTATAGTTTTAACTGGTTTACCCATCTGATCCAATAAATCCATTTTACTTTTAATCTAAATAATTTGAAGGTATAAACAAATCACGAATCGAATCCGAATTATATTTAAAATCGAACCGAATTCGAATTGAATCCGAATCGAACGGAATCGTATATTCGAATATGAATTGAATCCGAATCAAACGAAATTTCATGTAAAAACCAAATTTAAACCAAATGGAATTATATATAAAAATCGAATTCGAACCGAATCGGAATCAAACGGAATTCTATGTAAAAACTGAATCAAAATCAAACAAAATTCTATGTAAAATCAATTTCGAATCGAATATGAACCAAACATAATTATATATAATAATCGAATTCGAATCGAATCAAACGGAAATATATTTAAAATCGAATTCGAATCGAACGTAATCATATATTCAAATTCAAATCGAATGGAGTTCTACATAAAAACCGAATTGAAACGAATCATATCGAAATATGTTAATTAAAAAATCAATTAAAATAAATGGGTTAATTGAGTTTAAATGAGTTAATTGGATTAATCCAACCCATTAATTTGGTTTTGAAGATATTATTAATGATTTGGGTTAACCCAACTCATTAATTCCAATAACCCAAATGAGTTGTCACCAAAAGGGTTGATTGATCCATTTTGACACCCCTTAAAGGATCCATGGGAATCGATGGTAATATATTGTCCATTTCGTTCACTTCCCTTCAATCAAACCTGTTTAGCTTCCGACCACTACAAAAACACAGATGGGTTTCTGTTTCTACCTCCACTTTGCATCTCTGACTGATCAGATCCGTATTATTTTGTTGGAGATTCCGGATTTCGATTAGATTAGTTTTGATTATGTGTTTTTCGGGTTTACAAAAACTATACTTAACCGTTTTTGGAAGAAAAAGAACGGGTTTGATTCGGATTCGTTTAGGTTATTTTTTCAGATTTTTGTTTATTGGTTTTAGAAAAGTATAACCATAAGGCTTTTTATATAAAATTTTGTTCAAATCGGTTTAAATTTATTTTCGGTTTTTTAAATAAAATACTAATTTAAAACGGTTTTCCGATTGTTTATAAAATCGGATCGATATTTTTTTTGTTAAAGAAAAATCAAACACATCGATTTGTATATCGGATTCAATTTGGATACCGCAGTGTATATGCGGATTCGGATACGACGCAAATGGCTAACGCTAACCCTAGCAGTAACCCGTAAGCGGATGATATTAATTTACGTGCAATGCTCAAACAAAAGGGTGGGTTCAAGCTCAAGGTCTATACAGCCATGACCGTGTCGCGTAGATACTCTATGTCACGTGTTCATGTTTTTGTCCTTGTTTTTTTTTAATGTAAGAAGTTGACAGAAACAACACTTCCCAATGGTTATGTTCTCAGCTGGCAAGTTGCATACTTCTATAGATATGTGTTCAATAAAGAATCTGGTCTACCCTTTATTCTTTCAGTATGGCTTTACTTCAAAAAAAAAAAATTGTTTGGCCCATGGCCTTTCTGTGTTCCCAAGGGGTAGACGCTCGCACTTTAGTTTTAGTTGATTTTTCTCCTATTTTTTTTTGTATGTGCATGTACGTTAATGTGACATGACAAAAATAACTTTTTATTTGTATTTTAAAATGTTTTCTTAAGCATAGGTTTAATGCCACATAATATATAATTAATAATTATAGAGAGCAAGTCACTAAACGTTTAAAATATGCTCATTGACCAAATCCGGAAAAGAGAATATTAGTGTATAGATTGACCAATTGAGTGGGGAGAGGGAGTGTTCATTAAAGGTCAAAGATGAATTGATAGGTTACAGAAAGGTGCACAATGTCTCCCTTTTTGGTGACTTGGTTTGAAATCACATTAGCTACGACAATATCCAAGAAATTGTCCTAGCTAAGAAATGACATATTTTCCCGATCATTAAAAAAAACGATAGCTTTAAAAAATATTTTTTATTTTATTTTTTTAAAATCTTTGGCTAAATTGTTGATCATGTTAATCTCAAATTTATTTAAGATCAACTACGTAAAATCTTCGTTTTCACTCATTTCAATTTCAAATTAAATCTTTTAAAATTTGCAATATCTCAAATTTATTGCTAATGACTCGTTTTTGGGTGAGTATAGATCTACCCCTTTCCTTTCTCTTAGTCCTCATTCATATGCTCTCTACTTTTTTAACCAAAACATCTATCGATCTACATTTTACATGTCCAAACCATCTTAATAGTCTTTGCGTATCCAAACGATCCAGATATAGCCGTAAAAAGATATGTGCAAGGTGGAACAAGAGCACAGGGCCTCACAATTCGATGGGCCCATATTTTAAAAAAAATTATTTTTAGATATTAATTTGTAATTATATTTATTAGTATATATATGATAAATAATTAAAATTATATTTGACATAAAGTTTGGTAATTATCATCATTAATAATTACAATTTTTGAGTTATATTTGTGATTTTTTTACATTAAATTTATCAATTAATATAATTAAAAATTTTATTTAATATTTTTATAAAAAATATTTTGTATAGGACCTCTAAATCGTTTGGGATGACTCTACACTATAAAAAACCCTAAATATCAACAGATAAACCCATTGAAATAAATCAAATATCTGATGAAAATCATTGATTCAATGGATGACACTCGTTGCAATACGATCGTTGAAATTTGAATTCCGTTACAATCCGTTGATAATTTCAACGAAATTTCAACGACATAAATCTGTTGAAAAATTCCAACGGATAAGTCGTGGATTTTTTTCAATGAAATTGCAATGGAAGTTTCCGTTCTTACGTTGCAACAAAAATTTCGTTGATAGTAACGACATTTCGTTGTACGTTTTAAACGAAATATTCGTTGGTATATACCGTTGTAAATTTGTAACGAAAATAGCCGTTGAATAGTATCAACGGTTATATCAACGGATGTCCGTTGATCTTATCAAAATATTAACGAACAAGTCCGTTGATATGCATTTATATATATATTTATATAATTTATATAAATATATTATATATAATATTTAAAAATATAAATATATATTTTAAAATATTAAACAAAATAAATAAACCAGGGTTCGATACAAAATATAAAAAACAAAATCTAATTCAAACTTTCGGTTTCTTCGTCTTCGGTCGTTCTGGGAGTTCGACCGCTGAAGGTTTTGTTGGTTGTAGATGAAGGCGTTTTAGAAGGGGGTGGAGGACGAACTCCTCTAAGCAGCTCGATCATTTGCTCGAGATTAGTTATCTTCGCTTGCTACTCTTCCCATTTCGCTTGCTTCTCCGCCATCTATCGATCCGTCTGCGTCTTCTGATGTTGGAGCGATCGTTCAAGGTGCTCTATCCGACGTTGTTAGTCGGTATTGATCTGCACCTACAAATAAACCGACGATCTAAAATCTTCCAGCAAATCTCTCTGCAGATCTCCTAAACCGTAGATGCGGCTTTTGTTCTGCTCAACAAACGACAAAATAAAATCCATATTATATATAATTATTAAATCAATAATAACATAATTTCAAAATTGAATAAACAAAATTAAATTTATACCTCAACGTAACATTTGCCTTGATCGGTAGGAGACAAATTGATGCCAGACGATGAACTGCCAACCGCTGTTTGGGTGAGTTGTGATAATTTTTCGTTCACGAGCCCCAACACTCGTTCAGCTCGAGGATCGACAAACTGACCATCAGAACGTCTATGTATCCGATCAACTCAACGATAGATGGTTTTCTTCCCATTTCTCGTTGTTACAAATATAACATATAAAATATATTAAATTAATATATAATTATAATTTATTAAAATGCAATTAAAATACCAATTTTTTCGCCCGTTTTCTG